TATATATATATATATATATATATATATATATATATATATATATGCTGATTATATAAATAATGTGTCCACATGGCTTCCTTTTTTCTTTCTGGGGTATTCCATTTACACAATGAACACTTCTAATAACAAACACTGTTTGTCCTCAAAGGTTTTTGGATATAGAAAGAAGTGATGCCCACACTTCACCAATGCAGTTATATTCTACCCCCAAAATGTAGCAAAGTAAGTGACAAGATGTTGTGAAAATAACTTGTCACCAAAACAGCTGCTGGTTTTTTAAAAACAAGGTTTCTTAATGAAGGAAGTGGAAACAGCACTGGTGTGACCAGGGAGAACTCTTTGACAACCATCTCATGGAATTGGGCTTGTCTGAGCTGAGTCTGAGCCTGAATGTCAGGAAGCCCAATGTTTGCCACAGAGGAAATGGTTTTGAGCTGTGGGTAAGCCTTGTTCTGAAGGGTTTAGGGAGAATGAATCTGTTTGTAGGTATTACAAGTGTGAAAACAGCTATAAATGCTAACAAACAAGTCCTTCTCTTAAAAAAATATTAGAGACATTAAAGTGAGATTGTTACATGCACAGTAAAACCATTAAAATGGCAATAAATATTGGGATGTTAATTATTTACACTGGAGATATTTTCCACACAGAGAATGTTTACCTTGGAACTAGTAAAGACATTAGCTAAAAAGCTAACAAAGTGGGACCATATTTAAACTGCTTATATTACTAAGTAATTTAAAGATAATCACTTCCTAATTTTGATTTATAAATTAGTGTTAATATAGGTCTTGTCCTCTTGGCTGTGATTCTTAGTCCATAAGAGCTAAGTAGTCTCCAGCCAGAGTGTTGATGTTTCTAGGACACTAATTTCCAGGATGCTAATTGACATCTGTTGATCTTTCTGTGTGCAAGGAGTACAGGGAAGGACATGGACCTCTGTTTACTATAACTTGATGCTAAGAAGTAGAACATTTTTGGAACCATAGATTGACCTATGGGTCCTCTGAAAGAGCTACCCAGAAGGTGTTTTTATTTTTTTATTCTTCTCTCACATATTACATCCTGTCTGAAGTTTCCCCTCCTCTCCCCTCCCCTCCCCTCTGTCTTTTCCCACTGGAATACATTTTAAGATGTTTAAAATGATACTGTGAAGCAAATATGAGTGCTATGCTGTTTTCACAACACCTTAACCTACCATCTGCCCCTCCCCTCAGACTGACGTTTCTAATAATCATAAGATTCATACTGGAACTTTATCATTTTAATTTATATGTGATTTTATAGAAATAATTTCATCTACAACTTTTATCAGCAAGTGACTTTTTTGTATCGTTACATAAAAATATTACTTGATAACTAGTGATACTAAGCATATGTAAGAAATTAACATCTGCTTGGAGAAAAGTTAGTTTCTACTCGTAATTCCTCTATGTCTCCATCCACTGAGTGCCTGATGACCATTCTCCTGGGACTCCAAAGAAGGTGTTTGCAAATCACCAAACTGATTCCTCTGCATCAGCGTTTGAAATGTGATGCTTTTTGTGTCTTGGATGCAAAGCTGCTTCACAGTTACATGCCTGCCACGTGCTGTCATGTTTAGCCAAGTACAGACATGTTGAAGGCCACTAGTGTTTTGTTTCAAGCAGAAAACTACTTTCAATGACTTTTTATGTATGAACAAATCTGAGGACCTATGAATAACTAATTTATATGAGTGATTTTATAGAAATAATTTCTATAAACAGAAAGGGCCCTTTATTCTGCTGTTAATGTATTTTTATGAGTTAAGAACCTCAAAGTTCTAAGTCTGTGGGATCTAAGAAATATCTGAGATGCTTTTGCAAGCCTAAACCAGCACAATCACAATATGTTGGGAAAATAGTACCTTTTTCCTGTAATTGCTTATTAATTATACCACCTACCTAGCATGGCATCTGTTTCAGCACACATGGCATAATAATATGCTCTAATATTCTTAATTTCCTCTTCAGTAAATTTCCCTGTGCAGTTTTTTGTGTAGGAAGAGTAATAGTCCACAGGGTGCATTTCTGACAAAGCCAGCCACTTTGGGATTTTGATAGCATCATAAGCTACCTAAAAAGAAAGGAGAAAAAGCTTCACATCAGCAAAGTCATAATATGCCTTTCTTCCAACAGGTATCTGTGGCAAATTTCACAATGTTTCATATACAGGATGGTTGAAAAGAACGGCAATGAAGTGTGCTAATTCTCCAAGTAGGAATGGACCGAGTAACCCTTATTTACACTACCAGGAGAAGGAGTGTTTCAGATTTTGATAAGCTTTCTTGGAAAGGTCATAAAGAGAACAGATTTGTCTCCCAGGGATAACTCCATGAGACACTTCACAAAAGTGGATAATGAAAGAAGACTCAACAATTGAGCACTCAGTAAAGAGATGGAGAGTGCTGACTGGAGTGAATTTAAATCACACATACAGGGCATAATCCATGAAAGTCTAGTCTGGGGATGCTCATAGTGCTGCTCTATCAAAGAATTCACATTCATAGTCAGAGGAACTTAGGGACTGGGCACCCATCATCACCAGGAAGACCAGTTTGAAGAAGAAGATCGAGAGTCACATAGAGAAACCGGTAAAAATATTCACATTAAAGGAACTCTTGTAGAAATATCTACATTGGAAGCCAAAAAGTAAAAATGTAGGGAGTTGATCCAAATAGAGAAAGAAATATGACAATCTGCAAGGCCAAGAGAAGATGCTTGCTGTAGAACAACTGCACAGGGGAAGGCGGGCATGACTCACACTGTGCCTAGTATACTTTTTACTACACTGATCCTAAGAATTTCTGTGTTTTCAGGACAGCATACTAAATAATAGATTTTTCTATGTCTAACTTGACAGACCAAGGCAAAATTTTATGTATTTAACAGATTTTTTTTAAAAAAATTGAAAAAAGGCTAATTTCTTCCTTTTGACAATTAAGATTATTTTTCAATTTCATTCTGTATAGTTATTATCCTGAACTGGGGATGTGAAGCCTGCTCAGAGTCCAAAGATAATGTCTTTCCATTTCTTTTTATAGCCATATCATATGTAAATCTATAGTTAATAAACTCTAATGTTTTATTTCCAAAATATCATCCTTTTAACAAAAGTATTACTGTTTCAGTTTAAAAGTAAATTCCCAAATTTTCCACAAAAATGAGAAAAGTAAAGAAATGAGCTAACACAAGGTGGCTTTGCATGTGACATCAATGTCGACTTCTGAGCACACATAGAATACTTACCTTATCAAGCCAATACAGAGAAGTGTGAAACGTAGAAGCACCAAAGTTTTCTCCTGAAGAAGGTGAAGGGTAAGGGTGTGGTAAATTCAATCCCAAGTAAAGGACAAATGGTTTGGTGTAGTTAATGGCTTCCTGTCTTAGCCAGTCGGTCACTTTGTCTGTGCTCTGCCAGTCCTTCTCCATCACTCGCCTTCTGTTCTTATCAGGGATGAGATTAACCACAGGCCTGCCTTCTTGTCTGAGCAAGAACGCAACATCTCTTGTCCATGCCTCCACACGATTACTGAGGGTGTCAGAACACAACCATGTCAGAAAGCACTCACGCAGGGTTAGAAACTGCCTTAAACAAATGCTGGAAAGCAACAAGGGAAGCAGCTTTAAGACTTACTTATTTAAAAACTGTGGAAAACAACTGAACATTCATTTGTGTTAAGATTATTACAGATTGCTTAGACTAGTTAATTTTTCTTAGAGAACAATATTCAGTTGTGCTGGCTTGTCTTATGTCAACTTGACATATGCTAGAGTTATCTGAAAGGAGGGAACCTCAGTTAAGAAACTGCTTCCAGGGGCTGGAGAGATGGCTCAGAGGTTAAGAGCACTGACTG